TTTGCGACCGACAGGGAACGTAGACAAGCCTGGTGACGGATAGTGGACACCGTTCGTTCAGGATGGACGATTCAGGCAAAGAGTTGCCAAAATAATTAGTGGCTTACTTCATGAGTTTGTGAAGCCATCGAGATTTTCCGGCACAACACCGTACCCCAAGACCTCCCTACTAGCACCAAACTAGCAATCTCGTTCAGAAATATCTTTTGAGTCACAAGGTCTTAAAAATTGATTCTGTTAATTAAAAACTTTACTTCAGTTTTTCAAACACCAATCTAACCATGCTATAGTGTATGTTTTTCTCGCCAGTGGCCCTGAACAGTCTCTGTATATGGCGATTGATTGCTCGCTTATAGCGCGTGAGGTGCTGCACAGACAGCTGGTGCTCTATTAATTAACCCTACCCCTCTAGGGTGTATACAAAATCATTTTGCAATCGGAGGATTTGGGACTGTCGGGGCTTTCCATTTAATACCTGCCACGTGACAGGTTATCAACCAATAGGAATGGCTCTAATGTCTAAAATTTTATTTATGAATGATATTGAAATAAATGAATGGATTACATAAATGGTGATTTTATACGTTTTGGGAAACTACACTCTTTTCCCTAGGAATGCATCGCTGTAGAGAACACCTCTCCACAAAATACATCATGCACCATATCAGGCAAGTGGCCTTCTTTCGTCCTCGGTTGGAGTAGCCTCCACCTCAAGCCGTGATAAGTACTCCTCTCCTGCAAGGTATACAAACCTCTACAACGTGACCCCATTATCAACAATGTGTATTTGCATCAACTTTACACTGATTTTAAGTTCTGAAAGAACGGCACAGAAAAGAATAATAAAAAAAACCCACACCACATTAAAGGCAAGAGCCACCACCCCGTCGCGTCTGACCAGTTGATCACTAGAGTTGACTAGAATGGTCAGAGATTTTCACAAAGCTACTTTAGCTTTGATTTTAGATAGGAAATAAAAACTTGCTCTGGGTGAGAAGGCACTCAACGAGAGCTTCTTGGTAATAATCAAGGAAAACAAATACAAGTCAACTTTAAGAAATGATAATTTAACAAATTCAATTTTAGGCAAGCTACTTGGGATTTTTTCCCATGAAGCCTATTTTCATGACTTAAGTAACACTTCAGGCACAATATTGCGAGACACACACACAAAAAAAAAATAAACAAAAAAAAACAAAACTGAAGGACACAAACAAATCCCAAGCAACATCTAACACACCTAAAATTTTGACTATAACTACGAGTTAGTCCCCAGTACTGTCATGATGAAAGAGTACTTAAACCTTTTGCCACACCAATACTGCCAGACTCCAAACAGATAAATGACGACCATTAACACGAGAAACCTAACCAGCAATGGTCGTCGCCGAAAAGGCAAATCCGTAGCGATCCAATCAATCGACATCAATAACAATGTATGGCTTCAATTTTGAATTTGTGTGGTTTTCACCATAACCGAAATGAGTCTGTATCACCAAGGCCTGGATATTTACCGTTTTTTCTCATATGTTGCTTTTACAAACTGCCTGCGTTGGGACTGTCACCATGACCGGGGCACAAGTATTTCATACACACGTTCGGAGCTCTTATCTCACCAGCCACATGTTGCGGGCAGTAAGTCGAGCAAGCCAGGCGCATTTGGTAGTTTCCAATTTTGCTGTTCTTGCTGATGGGTGCACATTACCCTCGTCAGTCAGCCAGGTTTGACTACAGCAAGCAACTGAGTTACGGTACGGTGACATTTGATTTGTATGTTATTCATTAGTTTAATAAGAGACTTTGAGACTCCAACAAAGTTAGCCTAAGAAATCAGATGAAGTGTAATTTGTATAGGCAATATTAGTACCTGCCAAGCACAAAAACAGAAGATGTTTACAGAATAAAAACACGGCCATTTTACTGTGGAGGTAGGAAATGGATAAGTTTTTATACGGGGCTTCGGTATTTTTTCCGGTTAAGTAACAATGCATGCAATATGGTGGCGTTATGTATGGGCTCCAAGTAGTCATCAAAGTGGTGGTTGGTACATAAAAGTCTTGTTTGGATTTCTCCGTGTACTTTCTTTCATTGCCATCCATAAATTTTACAACAAGAATAATTTGCCATTTTTCTAGCCTCGATCAATTCTAATGATTATTTTCGAAGATTTTTCCGTTCCTTAATGTAGCAGCAGCGCTTGCATGCCAACTGGAGGCGAAACCAAAGTCTTCATAGGAAGGAGAAGAACCTCCCGGTAAGGGATGGAGTAACAAGAAGACACAGCTTATCACTCCACAACACCACAGAAGATGCACTAGTTTATTATTCCCATAATTGGTTGATTGGTAAAAAAATCTATAAAATGACATAAAACATTAATTACATAGTATACAATATTAGTGATAACTGACTGATTAAAGTTCATGTGACTATTTCACCGAGTACATTCAAAAAGTGGGTAAAATGTACATTTCTACCACAATACGAGCTAAGCTGCATTCGTAAGATTTCTAACCACAACAGCGAGCGGCGGTGATTCAGCTGTCACTGTGGCTACTATATGTAAATGAGCAGAAAATGCGACTGCAGCTTTTATGTAGAAGTCGGAAAGTTACCAGGGTTATATTGAGCGTTGTCGAAACGAGTGGATTCGGCTGAGACATTGGTTTCGCTGGTTCCAGCCATTTGGAAGCAGCGTTTGAAACCACATGTTCGAGCTCTGACTGGAA